TTGAATATTGAAAAGTTGACATAAGCAATGACCTCTCTCGAATTTTTCTCTGAATTGTTACGCGATCCTGAATGTGAGTTGATAAGCACATAAGAAAATACAATTTATCGCAACAAGTGAATAAGATAACAGATATTTTTTTAATTTTAGCAGATATTTTTATAATATTTGCGATATCTTGTCAAAAAACGATATGATAAAAAGATATTACGATATATCCGGTATATATTTCGGTATGTGTATCATTATGCAATTATATATAATTATGTAATTATTCAGTTAGATACAATATTGAATGTGTTATGTCTTATTGTATTATTATTTAATGGTCTTTTGAGTAACTTAGCGTTGATTTTATTTTTACAAAAATAATGTAAGGAATTCTTATTTTTTCACAATTTATTTTTAAAATTATGCACAGGGTGTTCTAATAACTATTAGACCTGAAATATCTTTGAATCTATAAGATCTAGAAGAAAATTTGTATAACTAGAATTGCACGATAAAGGGAAGTTTCTATCATATGGCAATAATATTTTTTGTCCAAGTGGAGACGGTTCAGAGATTTCAAGGTCAACTTAATTTTTTTAAATGGAATTATATGATTTTTTTATATAATATAATATTCCTCTAGTTATTTTGCGTATAAAAGTATTAAGGTAGATATATCGAAAAATCAATAGTTTACAAGATATTTTATAGGTATTTTATTCTGACACATATTGATATAAAATGTTAAATAACTCGTAAATTAATAATTTTTTTTCAAAATCGTTTCGATGTAAAGAAAATACATAATTGCTTATTTAAAAAATTATCCATTTTGCAGCCATATTTTTTTAAAGCAACTATGTATTTTCTTTACAATTGATTCTCATTATTCTGTTCATAAAAGTATTAAGGTACAATTATAAAAAAATTATTAATTTATGAATTATTTAATATTTTATGTCCATATATGTCAGAATAAAGTATAAAATATCTCGTAAACTATTAATTTTTCGATTCTTTCATCTTAATATTTTTATGCAGAATAACTAGAGGAATCATATTACGTAAAAAATCATATAATTCCATTTAAAAAATGAAGTTGACCTTGACATCTTTAAAAACGCTTTCTGGATAAAAATTATTATCGCCATATAATGGACCTCTTTATATCGTGCAATTTTGGTTACTTATACAAATTTTTCTCTAGATCTTATAGAATCGAAAATATTATATATATAAGTAGTGACTCAGGGAAGGGAGTACACTACATTGTGTTATTGATAGCTACAAGATAATCTTTTCTTTTTAACAAATCTGATTTTCTTATTTATGTTTTCGATGCAAGTATGTAGTATAACTAATATAAGAATTGTGTACACCTCTTCTAACGATTACATATAATAGAGAAAAAAATTGTTTTTATATTAGAATCTGGAAATTATGCGTTCGAGCATCTAGCCAATCTTTTTCAAAAAATGGACTAATTGTATATTAATCTCTTATTGTATATAATAATTGTATATTAATCTATTAAAGAACTAATTTTTATATTCCATATATAATCTTTAATGTAACGAGCATTTTCACATTAATTTTAATGTAACTGACAAGATTCGATTTATACATATTAAAGCATTTTGTTAAACTAATTACGATAACAGCATTGTGTAAAATATTTTATTTATATGTATATATACTGAAGATGGTCTAATGAAGACCGAAACGTTTAATTTAGAATTGTTCTCTGTGATTTTAATAAATCTATATATTGTTCGCTTCCAATGCGTATATCCTTTATAATATTGTTTTTATATTATTTTATTTATTTACAAACTTAGCTTATAAAAGATTCTTATTTTGTGTGAACTGTATACAGAAAAAACCGGTTTTACTAAAATAGCTAAAAATTTAGCTATAGATTTAAAATATTAGACTGTCAACATTTAATTATATAGAATAGTCAAATTGATTGATAGTCAAAACTTTTTGCAGCATTATTCTTAAGATTTCTATGTAATTATGAACAAAATATGATTATGTCTATGATCATGAGGATCCAAATTATTTTCAAATCTGTAATCTAACTAAATTTTTAAATTCTTTCCGTATTCTTGAAAAATAGCTTTTTAATAATTAGGATTATATATATATATATA